AAAAAATAAAAAAAAAAAAAAAAAAAACAGTTTCTCATTTGTATTTTGTCTATTATGAACGGGTGCAAATGTGCTAGCCGGCGGGTCACGGCTAGACTTTACTTAAAGTCTGTCTTGTTTGATTTGTTTATCTTAAAAAAAAAAAAACAGGTTTAAGTTTAAAAAGTATTATATTTTAGGATACATGAATTAAATATAATTAAAATATCAAAGAGTTGTATTTAATATGAATATTTTTAGAGACTGTTTTCTAAGCTTATATTCAACAATAATATTGGTAGAGTCAATATAAGTAGAAATCAAATCAAATATATGGTGACTAATATAGGAATATGATTAAGGATAATACGGTGAGACGGGTGTGTGATTTAATATCTCTATACTCATCTATGTTCTCATATCTTATACTCATCATCGTCTTTATATTTAATATAGATGAAAATTTGTGTTTCATTTTTGTCTCCATCGAACATTAGATATATTCATACTCGCTCATAAATTAATTAAATATTTTTTTACAAAAATAAATATAAAAAAATGAGAATATCGACATAGAGTAGCAATTATAAAACTATTTGACATAAATTTACAATAAAATAAGAATTTCTTAAATGTCAAGTAAATTCTAAAAAAATAAATTAAGTTTATAAAAAATTAAAGTAGGGATAGGATGGGTACAAGACAGGTAAGTATATATTCATCTCGCCCCTATGCGCGATTTAAAAAATCAAGTATTATACATACTTGTATCCATGTTTGGATATTACACACATGTACGAGTTTACTTGTCATTCCTAAATAAAATGTCTAGCTAAAATGTTAAGAAACTCCAACATGCTCACTTGTATCATGTTTAATGATTTTTTATCAAAAGGTATTTATGATCTTTATACCCACCAATACTTTCAACTTATAATTGTAAAAGCATTTATTACAATCAACTAGTTCATCCTACCTTAACAAGAGACACTTACTTATAATGTTCACTAATCTACCTAAATGAAAAATCTATACTTAGCTTCATACTTTTCTACATTCCTTAATTATCAATATAAGCACTTCCAAAGATAACTCGCAATGCATATAAACTATTTTCTATATATTCCTCTATTTTTTCATCAAGTCACCTAAATGCATATACACCACAATACCACAAGCTTGTGGAGTCATATACTTTTTTTTTGTTCATTCTCTCCTATGAAACTTTGTGAAACTCTTTATGTCTACAAACTTCCATGAGTTAAAAATAATAAGTAAAAATTGTATGTAGAAAAAACTTCTTCAAAAAATCTTTCGTGTGAGAAAGTAATAGATAAAAATGAAATATCATTAAAGATTAAACAATTGTGACTTTAAAAATGATGATGACTTTAAAGAAGTCAAGAACGAAGGATTTATGGTTTAGAATATAAATTTAGTTATAAAATAAAATATTATTCTTTTATTATAATTTAAGTTATGATTTCAATTTTTTTAAATTAAAAAATTAAAAATATAGTATTATTAAAATGATTTAATTAGCCCAAACCTTTACACATGGTAAAATTTAAAAAAGTCTAATAATCTAAATTTGTCGGCTTATCTCACGTATATATGTGTATATCAAATAGAGTAGATTTCGGTTAAGATTTTAAACAAATTTTATATTTAAAATAAAAAGGTTAAAAAACTATAAAAAAAAAATGTTAGTAATTTTTTTTTAATAACTTCAATTTTTACACATGATGAAATATAAAAGAATCTAATTATGTAAATTTACTAACCTATTCTATTTATCTATATACATATATCAATATTTATCTAATACATTTTTCGTACTAAAATACGTGTATATATATATATATATATATTTAAATTAGGTATAATAAATTGTTAGATCCTTGAATTTTATGAATGTTTTTAAATAGGCCTCTAAGCTATAAAAAATTTCAATTGGTTCTTTAGAATTTTTTCAATTTTTGTAATTAGGTCTCCGACGTTAATAATTAATTTACAAATCATTAACAGTGATAAAATATTTTTATTTTTTACTAGCCCAAAGACCTAATTATAAAAATCACAAAAGATCAAGGACTCAATTGTAAATATTTATAGATACGGAACTTTATCATGCTTAAATAAAACTTTGTAATGAGAGTCATATCTTGTATAACTCGTACCTTGTACACATTGTAAATCTCTTTCTTAGGTTTCTCTTTGTCCTAAGCAGTAAAAGAACCGCTGGGTTACCTTGCATATATATTAGCAAATTATATATATATATATATATATAATTAATTAAGTTGCTCGGTACAAATTAGTCCGTCAAGCTAAAGTTGAGGGATTTTCATATAAATCATGTTTTTTTTTTTGGCATGTCCTGCTTCTCAATCTTGACCAAATTAATCTATTTTATGTTTTTGTTTGTATAAATTTATGATTTTTTTTATAAATATATGAATAAATAAATAAATAAATATACCAAATAGGCTTGGTAACTTTTCACAACTTAATATTTGGGTCCTAAAATAAAATATTCAATCTAACTTATCTTAGTATTGAAATAAATCAATTTTGATAGTTATAATTTAAAAAGAAAATATATTTTTTCATGCAAAATTATTTAAAAAATTATTATTTTTATTTTTTTTAATCTCAAGTTTTATTGAACCGCATAATATATTTAAAAAGATGATTTAAATGTGTTTTAAATCTTTTAAATTTATAATAAATTTATTTTTAATTTTTTAAATTTAAAATTAAATTTTTTTGTCCTAAAAATTTAAAAATTATGTTTTAATTTTTATACTCAATTTTTTTAAAAAATTTGTCAAATATTATTAAAAAATTTATCTATTATGTTTCTGTTAATAAAAATATAATCTTCAACTTAATTGATATTATATAACTATTTTAATTTATTATATATATATATATATTATTGAGAAACTAAAAAAGTAATTTAAATTTAAAAAAATATTATTTTAAATTTAAAAGATAAAAAATATATTACAAATTTTTTTTTTAAATTGTAGGCTGAAAACAAAAACGGAAAAAGGAGGTTGTTGTGTATTGGATTCTTGAATAAGGTGAAGTGTGGTAGCCATAATGAAGAGGAACTCCACGTGTGGTGTGGCAGGTGCGCCTCATGCTGCCTTACCCCTACGCAGTAGGCAACAACAGAAAGCAAGGGGCAATTGCGGAATACAAAAGAACTAAAAACGGATAAAAAAGAAAAGAAAAGAAAAGAATAATCGATAAATCCAATGGGCAGTGACTGGTGACTGGTGACTGGTGACTGGTAACTGGAGGTATGCTGATATAAGAAAGGGTGGAGCCCATCAGAAGGAGAGAGCAATAGATACCGCCAACTTGGGTTCCCCAGCCCCTAGAGTCACGACACCCTGTACCCAGCTGTATCCCACCCCTACCCTGTTTACTGTTTTCGTCTTCCTTTATGTCACCTCCAACACTCCAACTAATTTCATTTCGCACAACGCTTCCTCCTTTTCCGTTACACACCATCACCATGCTGCTTCCGCATTAGCATTCCCCGTTCCTCTCACAAACCCTAATCTCCTCCCTCCGCCATGGATCCTTGCCCTTTCGTCAGGCTCACCGTTGGCAACCTCGCCCTCAAGATTCCCGTCGCCTCCAAACCCGCGCGCTCCGTCGTCCACCCTTCCTCCTCCCCCTGCTTCTGCAAAATCAAGCTCAAGAACTTCCCACTCCAATCCGCCCTCGTTCCCTTCATCCCTCCCGACACCCACTCCCCGGACTCCCAGGTCCAACCCATCGCCGCCTCCTTCCACCTCAGCAAGTCCGATCTCGACAAGCTCGCCGCCAAATCCATCTTCGCCGGCAAGCTCTGCCTCAAAATCTCCATCTACACCGGCCGCCGCGGCACCACCTGCGGCGTCAACTCCGGCAGACTCCTCGCCAAAGTCTCCGTCCCCTTGGATCTCGCCGGAACGCTAGCCAAGGCCACCGTCTTCCACAATGGCTGGATTACCGTCGGAAAAGACGCCAAAGGCTCCTCCGCACAGTTCCATTTGAATGTCAAAGCCGAACCCGATCCTAGATTCGTCTTCCAGTTCGACGGCGAACCGGAATGCAGCCCCCAGGTTTTCCAGATCCAAGGCAACATTTCTCAACCCGTCTTCACCTGCAAATTCAGTTTCAGAAACACCGGCGACCGAAATCACCGTTCCAGGTCAGTTCCCTCACCTTCAATTACTGTAGTTGCTTTGCTACTATTATGTATGGGCATTACTATTATTAGATGCAAAGAAATTGAAAATGGAAAGTTGAATTGCATGTGATAGCTTGTGGAATACTCAAAATTTGGTTAGATAGTAGGTGGTTTTAGGAGAGGCTTAGTTTAGGAGTCAATTCAAGGGATTTGGGTTTGTTAATGTGTAACGGTTTCTGTTATGTGTGAGTGAGGTGTGTTCCGCGTGTTAACGATGCGGTTATTCTGTTTCGTTCAGGTCGTTACAATCTGAGCAAGGCGGTACTAGGAGTTGGTTAAGTTCGTTCGGGAGCGAGCGGGAGCGTCCGGGGAAGGAGCGCAAGGGGTGGTCCATAACGGTTCACGACCTTTCCGGTTCGCCGGTGGCCGCGGCTTCCATGGTCACGCCCTTCGTCGCTTCTCCCGGTTCGGACCGGGTCAGCTGCTCCAACCCCGGTTCCTGGCTCATTCTTCGCCCCAGCGACGGCACCTGGAAGCCCTGGGGGCGGCTCGAGGCGTGGCGCGAGCGCGGCGGCTCCG